ATGGCACATATCCTGGGCGTATTGGACCAAGGTCCCTAGCGCATCGAAGTGACAGCAACCCTTGATCCAGCATGGCACATTGCCTAGGCGTACTGGACCAAGGTCCCTAGCGCATGCGTATTGTTTGACGGGTTGCTTGCGGGAGACGCCACTGGTTGGTACATACAGGTGTTGCTTGCCCTGGATCAATCCTGTGCTGAATGCCTGGGATGTGGCCCAAAGCATCCTCACCTCCATCAAGAAAGGTACTGTAACTACACAGGTCTCAGCAACTCCTGGCATTGATCTTCTCCTAAGTGATCCAGACCAGGCATCTGGTATTCAGTCTCCGAGGGCAATGGGTAATCTGGGATATTAGCAGCTTCGATTGCGGCAAGGGCTTGTGATGGCGGAAGATCATCAGCAACATCAGTGGCAGTGCTGCCATAACCAAAATCCTCTATCCCAAAGGTTCTGTCAAACTTGTCTTCCTCCCACTGGAAATCCTCATCTTCCCTTTGGTCATCACTCAAATCTGGACAAGCAGAGTTAAAGGCACTGGAGTCGGAAGTCTCGGAGTCTGGGGTTTCTGCCGTAAAAACAGACGACAGCATACTATCCCCAAACATGTCCCTTGAGTTAATCAAATTGGCCTTGTTGTGCTGTTGACTGCCCACACAGGGCATCGCCGTCTAGAAACGGTACTCAGCACAAACGGTGATATGCACACAGCTGTTACTTGCGGTGTAAACAAAACGTCCCAATCATCAGAGCAAGACCTTGCCACTACACCCTCCAAGAAACGCCCACTGTGTGGTGGAAGCTCTGTGGTTCTGTAAAAGTGCACAGCAGAAGAGATGTAGGGTGGTGACAAGTGAGATGGGGAAAAGCAGTTCTCTCCAGCATTCTCTGGAACTTCTGGTGTGGTCACTCTCACTACACTCAGCCGGCTGCAGGGATTGGGCATCAGTATAATTCACATGAAACTCCTGGCCTTCTAAAGTCAGGCAGGCGCTGTCATCCTGGGACCTAGAGGACAGGCTAAAGGTGGTTCTACTCATAAAGTCCATCCCCAGGAGTATGTCTCCAGGAAATCGTACATCACACACAGTGACCGTATGGTGCATTTCAAGGTCTGAGTTTAGGCAGAAAACAAGGGTTACCTCACTCAGGGTGTTGATTAGTTGACCAGACATGCCTCGCAGAATACTGAAAGTCTTCCTCCGACGTACGTAGTTATGAGGATCAATCCGCTTGAGAGCTTGGGGTTTAATAATTGTCGCTTCGGATCCTGTATCAATAAAGCAGCGGACTGTAGAACCACTAACATTGAGTTCCGCAACTGGCCATCCGGTAGGCCCTGTCACTGCCATTCCCTTCTTGAGAGGTAACGTCTTCACGTGAGGTGCTCCTTGGATCGAACCTGCCAGTGGTTCCTGGCGCTCACGAAAGGGGCAATCTCTCACCAAATGTCCTGGACCTCTGCAATGGTAGCATTGTCGTCATGGAGACTGTGGATCTAGGATCTCAGCCCTGGCTCTGCACTCAGATGTACCGTGAGTCCTTACCTGATGATGCTCACATCACCTCTCCCTGACAGGTGATCGATGATAAGGTGGACTGGAATGCTCAGCAGCTACCGGCATTGCATACAAATCCTGACCCCGTAGAGAGCGATTAGGGTGGTAGGGATTTTCCTCTGCTGGTGATCACTATGCCTTATGCCATTGCGTGAATTCCAGATGCGCTGTGCTGTTTCGGCTATCTGGGTTGGGCTACCATCTTCTTTAACAGAGAGAAAGTCTTGGAACCATGCGGGGATGCCACTCAGGAAGACCCTCTTCACTAGTTCGGATGGATCACCAATGGCCTCGCGGTGATCCCTATATCCCTGGTAGACGTGCCCTTCCAACTGCAAAAAGAAGTCCATTGGTGCCTGGCTTGGTGTCATACGGATGTCGTATAAAACCTTGTAGAAGTCTGAGGAGGTGTAGGTACCTCGGAACTTACTACGGAGAGCTGCCTTTAATGTGTCCCATTCTGCGATTGAGTCGAAGAGAGAGGAATTAATAATTAGCTCGGCTGGACCTCTGCAGTTTGCCCGTGCTGCCTGAATGAACATCTCTGACGTGGCTGGCTTCACGATGTTCTTAATTGTCCGAATCCAACTCTCTATTGCTTGGTTCTTTTTGAGCGGCTGTGAGACAGAAGTATCCCCCTTGAAGTGCGGGACAATTTCCTTCGTAAACACACAGGAAAATGGTGTGCCAGACAACTGAGACGAAGGATGTGCTGACTAGGGATGCTGAGGCAAAGACCTAGGCTGGAACTGCTGCGGCAGGGATGTTTGTGGGTCATACGTGTGTCGACATTCAGGATACAGCTGCTGCTCTGGTATTGGAGTGTGGGGGCGGCTCCGAGGAAGAGGCTGAGGAGGAGAGTGGTTTCCATTAATGCTGATGGTGGTCTTGAAACCTAGTCATGGTATGTTGTACTGAGGGGGCGAGACGGCGGACCTCTGCTAGCTCCTGGTCCCGCTGCTGAAGTTGACGATGAAGCTCTTGAATCTCTCGGTCTTGGGCACATTCCATGGGTGCAGGTGCAACACCTGACCTCTGTAGTCGTTGGCGGGCCTCAGTCAGCTCCCTGTTCCGTTCCTCTAACTGGCGGCGGAGCTCCTGAATTTCCTGTTCCTGGGTATGTACCACAGGCACGGGCGCAGTGTTCGTCCGCAGTAGTTGAAGGCGGGTCTCCTCCAGCTCCCTGTTGCGTTCCTCCAGCTGGCGACGGAGTTGCTGAACTGGATCCTCCTGGTCTAGTTCTCTCTCCTGTGGCTGATGGAGGTTACTGTCTGCTTGCTGTTCTTGATCTAGAGTGCCTTCTTGCATGTGATGTTCAAGGGCCTCTTCATGGCGCTGTAGTTGGGCATCATTTTGCTCCTTGTACTCCCGTACTTCTGCGACTAGAGTCGATCTTCTCCATGATCTGGTCAAACATGGTTACTTCTGTGACCATCATCTGAACAGCCTCGCGTACATCCGGATTAGAACCACCTGGTATGCGGCGTGGTGTTGGGGAGACTTCACGGGATGTTGGCTGGCTGCTCATCCGGATGTTTCGACACTGCTGGAGTCTCTGGTATCGCTCCTGCCTCTCCCTGCTGTTCGGCATGCCAGGAACGAAGCAACCAAATACTCGAAGCTCCTCAGGTACAAATACAAAAAGAAAACAAAACCAACAACAATCCACAGGATCACAAAGAAAGAGTTCAAAAGCGTGAACTGTTGCACAAAGCAAAGACGCTGCACGAAGCAAAGACGGTGGACGAAGCAAAGACGCTGCACGAAGCAAAGACGAGAAGCAAAGACGCTGCACGAAGCAAAGACGCTGCACGAAGCAAAGACGCTGCACGAAGCAAAGACGCTGCACAAAACAAAGACACTGCACCACCAAAAGTGAACTGGCTGGGGATAAAGGGGTTAATACAAAATAAATAAAAACATCCTAAACTAAGTGAGCCACAGTAAAACTAACTAGGCGAGCTGGCGATTAGCAATAAAAGAATCTAACTCTGAAAGAGAGAAGGTAAAAGCTGAAAGAAAAAGGCCAAGCTCTAAAAACTACCAAAAGTAAAAACTAAATACCCTGAAAACCTGTAAGAGAGGTAAAAACAGCAAAACATAAAGCACAAACACCAAAAGCAAAATAAATGGCTCACCAACGACTACTTAAGAGCATGCACGACATAAAAAATAATGCTGGACGTCTCAACATCATTAAGTGATTAACCAAGAACGTTAACTCATTCACTGGAACATCTCACCGCAAAAGCCACCAAAACCACTGTTGTAGTGTGATCCGTCTAACCCAGGGGTCCCGTCCCAGTTCATCAAGTCAGTCTTAGAAGTCTGCCCTCCCTTGATGCTGGCGGGGGATACAAGCGCAAATAGACCTGGTTAACCCCTGTCAATTCAATCCCCTTAAGTGGTAGTGTGTGTGTGGGGGGGGGGGGCTGAATCATTAATATGGGTGTTCCAATGCGAATACCACTTTCTGACGTTCAGCCTAACCGTATGGTAAAATACATACTAAAAAGTAATCTATGAAAAATACAAAAGTGAAAGAATGTGCTAAAGGCACCGAAAATTACTGACGTATGCAAAAACTAAAAGAAAAGGACTTCCACAGTGGAGAGCCTGGCTGAAGGCCTTACCATAAAACAAAGACAAAAGCAGTAAGTCTGGCGTCAGAGCTGAAGGCTTAAAACCCCATAAACCTAAAAGAAAAAAAATACGACAGTATAAAACCCGAGTCTGGTGACACCCAGGGATGGGAATTTTTCGGAAGCGTCCTTTCGGCCATTTTCTTTGAACAGAATCAGAGAGAATAAGGAATGATTCTTGAGGAAACTATTATAATACACAGTAAAATGCTATGAAACAAATATAAATTCGTTTTAGATTTATTTCAACAAATATATAACCTACACCACAAACATTTACATTGGAAAAAATTAACAAAATAAAATTAATATATATAACGACATCCATAGTAAAACAAATCACATAAGCGAAATCATATCTTCGCATGGTTATGTATTCATTTTGGCATATTCACTTAAATGAATAAGAGAAGTTATAGTCTCCAACTTGAGGTTTGACCTTCCTTTTCTTTTTATTTGACTGAACTTAGAGAATAGTCTTTCTACATCTGTGTTCGATGTTGGGAGCGCTAGAATTTCAAAGGCAAAATGCGCTAGGCATTCGTACTTTGGTTTGCCCATAGTATCTATGATAGTTTAAACATATTTGTAAAAATCTTCAACCTCACACTGAGGACTCCTATATTGCTCTGGGAAGGTCTCCCAGGCAATATCTCGCCATTGGTCAGCCAGTGCCTGCATATAATTGTTTATTCTTGGGACTTCCTTAGCCAGTTGGGTCAAAGATGGAACTGTCGGTCTGAGATTTGGATCCATGATATTCTTTGGCTGTAAGGGTGTAGCCATTATCCATAACGAATTATTTGTCAAACCGTTTTCTTATTTGCTGGCACACGGTTATTAGGAAGGTTCTACAGGTGGTTTTAATCTCTGTAACCAACTTGTGGTTTTTATAGTTTGGTGCTTGGAAGAGGCTGTGTACATCCTCCCCTAGGTAAATTTGATTTATTGGTAGATGAATGGTTTGGTCTGCAGGGTTGATTTCATTTGGTTTCATTTTCTGTAGTGCTGTTGGCTGGCAGAGATAATTCAGCAACTTTAGATATGAATTTGGAAGAATGTCATGGGCCAAGTGTAGTGTCGGTCCTTTGGCCTGAAACACCAAAGTCACTCTGTTCAGATGTGGCAACATATAATTTAAAAATTTCAGGTAGCAGTAAATGGCTTGATTATCCATGGCCTCACAAATTCTGTCAATTGATGACAATTTTTCATCAAGCCTGATACCATTAAAATAGAGCTTTAGTGGCTGCCACTGTTCCAGTAATCGTTCTACAGCTTGTGCTAAGGAAAGCCACCTTGTTGCTCATGGCTGCAATATTTTGTGAGGCTTGACCCCATAAAATACCTGATATTCTTTGAATTCATATTTCCTTTTTGCGCTATGGCAGAAAAAGGTGTAAACATTTCGGACCAGTTCTTCGCAGGTCCTTGGAAGCGTTTTCGCTGCTTCGCTGCTACACAAGTGTATGCTGTGAGCCACACACTTAAAGATGGTGATGCCAGGCATGTGCGCTTTTAGTCTACTGCTCACAGAATTTACAGCACCCATGATGTTTGATGCCCCATCAGCAGCAAATCCGACCATATTCGTGAGAGGGATCTGGTAGGTATTCAGGGTTTTTGTAATGAGGTTGAATAAAGACACCCCTGACGATCCATCATTCTCATCATACAAGCTAATGATGTCTAGCATGGACGTCTTAATTGTATTGGTCTCTTTGTCGAAATACTTGACAATTAAGGCACATGCTCTATCAGCTGTGCAGTCGGTCGTCTCATCTATGATCAGGCTAAATTTATTAAGTTGTAACTTTCTTGCCAATTGCTTGGCAAGAAGTTCTCCTAAAACTTTTGTTTGCTGCGAACATTTTTTTCTTTTGAGGGCCACCTGGGCTGCGATGGTTGAATCAGGGAACATTTTCCGGTTCAGCTCCAGGAGGTCATCGCAAAGACTGAAAAGACGGAAAAATAAACATTTAAACATAATAATCAGTATGTACCAAATATCTATATTTTATGGTAAACGCATTTGATATATTAAATTTCTCCATTGTATATTGCACAACACTAATTTGGAGTATATATTACCTGAACGGCAAGTTGTGCTCCGCTAAAAACAAAATGAAGAGCAGCGTTGCATGCTGCACAGCACTAGGAAAACCCCTTTGCTCTTCAGCCGCGCCAGGGCGCTCCTCGGGGGTGGCCCTCTCTTGCCTGCGGCTGGTTGCCCGCTGCCTCTCCTCCAGGGACACATGCTGCCTCGACGACCTGTGGTACTTGAGGCCGGTGATATCGACCATCAAGTGCTTATGGCAGACCTAATGGAAGACAAAGACTGAAATTAAAAGATTGTTTTGGTACATATACATGTACCCATATATGTATGTATTCACGTGTATGCCTGTGTATGTGCATGCGCATATGCATGTGCGTGTGTATATGCACGCATGTGCGTGTGTATATGCACGCATGTGCGTGTATATGCACGCATGTGCGTGTGTATATGCACGCATGTGCGTGTGTATATGCACGCATGTGCGTGCGTGCGAGTGTGTGTATGTGTGTGCGTGTGTGTATACGAGTGTGTGTGTGTGTGTGTGTGTGTGTGTGTGTGTGTGTACGTGTGTGTGTGTGTGTGTGTGTGTGTGTGTGTGTGTGTGTGTGTGTGTGTGTGTGTGTGTGTGTGTGTGTGTGTGTGTGTGTGTGTGTGTGTACGTGTGTGTGTGTACGTGTGTGTGTGTACGTGTGTGTGTGCGTGTGTGTATGTATGCACGTTTGTGCGTGTACATGTATGTGTTTGCATATGGAAGAAAGCTATTTGCTGTGTAAGTTACAGTGTATAAGTATGTTTTACCTGGCAGTATGCCCTGGTGGTGTCGTCTGGCACTCTTGCCAGCCAAGTCTTGAAGAGGGCATTGGAAAGCCAACTCTCCTGGAAGCGGTGTCTCGGCATGATCTGGAAATATAAGCAGAATAAGCATGAAGGCGTTATCATAGCATAATATGTCTTACTTATTTCTCTTATTGCCATATGATTTATATAAAACATGTAAACAAACTTTCCAAGGGAAATATCAGAAGCACAGTCAGAATACTAGTTTTATTACAAGTACTTATTAAATGTATTATCTCTTCATCTATACTATTATCATTGACAAAAAAGTACGGTTTTCTTTGAATGGTCGTTATTGGGATATCTCAATAACTTTGTCTGCCATAAAACACCCATATAAAGAGAACGTGATATAGGAAAATGTATAAACTATTCGAGGATAAGCAAATGCAGTTTAAAAGAAATACTAAATGATATTATGAAAGAGAATACTCACTTATTCGAAGGCTGTAGAGTGTCGCAGATAACCGGCTATGTTAAGGCAAGTTTCGGAACGCTGGGTAGGGTATGCCGCATAAAACTGACATTCAAATCTCAGTAATAAAATCCAAAACGTGTTAATATTTGCTTCAAGTATTTATACAGAAGGGTAAAAATACAAAACATTAAAAATATCCAATGTTATCATTAAAGCATAGAAATGCAAGAAAAAAGCATTCCGAAATTTCTTTCGAATGGTCACGTGACTAGGTGGGCGTGTCGTCTGTTTACGCAGAACAGCTGATTTTTCGGGCAAATCCATCCCTGGTGACACCGAAACTGGAAAACTAAAACTAAAAGATCACTCAGACTTCCTACTTTGAAATGCTAAAAGTTACAAATAAAACAGAGAAACAAACCAGCCAAGTTCATTTAAAAATAAATAAATAAATAAAAGGATGTTCAAATTATTAAATAAAAATGTTCTTAAGATCACGTCAAGATCCTATGTAAAGAATATCAGGATCTCAGTACTTATATTCTTCCGTGATCGTCTCTGTGTTCGGTTCAACAAATATGGCGACACTGCCGGTGGTTTAAAGCTTCGGAGGGTAACGAATCACAATCGTTGACGTCTCGACTCGTACTCTTTATTGTTTACTTTTTCGATGCCCTGGTACGTCAGAGGCCAAACACTTTTACAAAATATATTCTCGTAATAAATAAGCTAAAACTGTGCATAAAAATGAGCAAAAATAAAACTAAAAGTTTAAAATAGAAATCACACGAACAAGAAATACAATAACTAAAAAGAACGAATAAACACTGTATGTAAAAATGCTTCCCCTACAACTTAAAATGAAAACTAAGTAAAAACGAGACCTTAAAACTTTACTGAATGTTATAAAAACTAAAATAAATAAAAGCTGATGATAAAAGGGTCATAAAAATGTCTCGTTATTAAATCATAAATAAAAATGCTCAGAGAAAACATTTAATAAAAAGGGGAAACTAAAATAAAACAATGAAAGTCAATAAAAACGAGAAAAACAACCCAAAACCAAGGTGAGACACATAACAGACAATCCTCCAACACGGCAGTCAGAGCGGGAGAGCGGAGAGGATGAGATGCAGCATCCAAGACCACCTTACATATGTGTATATATACACACACATATATATATATATATATATATATATATATATATATATATATATATGTATATATATAAATGTATATATATATATGTATATATATAAATGTAATATATATATATATATATATATATATATATATATATATATATATATATATATATACACAAACACATTTAAATATTTGGGTTATATCTCGTCAGTTATTATTATTCATATATAAGCCGGAAAATATATAGACACCTAAACATGGAGAAAGCGCATTTATCGATATTAAGATATTAAGATAATCTAGAAACAATGAAATTACATGGATGAATAGCCGTTTAGATAGGGCAGTAATAAGCATATTTTGCTTCAAATGTTATTTTCCATACATTCGAAAATAAATTAAAATGTTGCATAAAAAATATACCATTTTGTTTCTTTACAGGGGTAATCATAGCCAAAGTAATGATACTGTCCCGAAAGCCATCCTATAGTTATCGGTGGTAAGAAGACCTTTTCAATAGCTATGGTCTTTGGCGTATAGTTCGGTAAGGAAAACAAGATTCAGTAGAAGTGGTAGACGGTAAACGCAGAAATACAGCAGAGAATAGGTGAAAATTCATTAGTAAACAGAATAATTGAAAATCCAGCATCTGAATTGAGCTCTCAAGTCGGCAGGTAAACTTTCAGTAGAGGAGGCAGCAGATAACGTTCGGCAAGTTGGAATTCCAGTAAATGGCTGCCGCTACCATGTGTGGCGGGCACAGGAGGAGCTGGTGATCAGTTCCATCCACGCCCGGGACGGCGCCTATGGAGGGCTCGGGAACCACGCACCGTGAAATGTCCAACTGAAGGGACAATGATATCATTAGCCTTCATTTAGCTTATAGATAAATCATGCATACTTAAAAGGCCATATTAAATCTCATCCTCCTTCAGCACCAAAGTCACAGAAAAGACGACGACTTACCCTTTCTCCCGAAATGATCTCGCGGCACTGGTATGCGGCGCTGGTCGGGGAACTGAAGAACTGCTGGTTAGCCCACAGGCCGGTCACGGGGAAGGGCTGCAGGGTATTTGGGGGATGTCAGTAACAAGGTATATTTAGATGAAACGGAAACGTTGAAGAAACAAATGATGAAGATTGAAGTAAAGGACATCTTTAAACCGTTTAAAGAGAGAGTAAGATTGAAGTGAAACCAATTATGTACAGACATGGCGAAGAGAAATGGCTATTTTGAGGGTTGGCGAGGTGGTCTTGGAAACATCATCTAAGGAAAACACCCTGATGAAAAGGAGATCCAGCTGGGGAACTTGTTTTTATATACAGCAAGGAAGTTTGGGACAGAATGCTTCAGGATGCCCAAAAAAGTGGGTAAGGTCTTGAATGAAATCAAGCGCCAGAGCATCAGAGGGTGGAAAGTGGATAGAGAGAACACGCACAAAGCCGTTTTGATGAAAATCCTTATTGGCAACTTCCAAGGGGACGGAGCTAATGACGTCATGTTTACCAAATGAGAAGGCCCTCTTATCAGATATCGATAGATACGGAATTACTTGTATGATTTACTCGATATTGTTAGAATACCAGAAATAAATACAAAATATCCCTATTTTATCAATGAAAAAGAATAATCCCCTACAAATGACAGCTATAGGAACAGTTTGGAAAGAGTCCGTTTCTACTCTGGGTTCGACAGGGTAAATGGAGGTGGCGCTACCTGGTTTATGCACCTCGATGAGATAGGGCAAGGCATTACAGACGTACATGTACAGGCCCGAAAGGAAAAGTAAAGGCTGATCAAAATCTTTAAGAGGAGAAAGGAAGAGATGATGAGGGTTCTGTTAAATTTTTTTTAAATATAATATCGTTATTATCATTAAAACTATCATAAACATTATTGTTATTCTTGTGATATTGATGACTGTAATGATGTTGATGAAGATGATGATGGCAATGATAAATGATAATAGTGGTAATCATAACAGTGATGGTAATGATTTTGCCTAACAAACTTTTATCCTGAAGGTCGTAGGAAATTGCCTTACCTGATCTTGGTCCGTGGGCAGGATTGGAACTCACTTGGAGACTTAGTCTTAAGCAACAGAGAGAAAAAGTTAGGAAAGCCCGTGTATGTAAAGTATAACGTGATACCCAGTCCTCACCCGACCGCTAACGACAATGGAACAGATTCTGCTGTCGGAGATCATGGCCCCGTCGTTGAGGTCGATCAGCAGTCCAGGAGGCGCCGTGCAGATGAGATAATCCAGGTCGCTGAGGGAGGAGCTCGCGGCCACGCCCACGGCCACGCTCCCGTCGGGGGGAGAGCAGTCCATCTTCCAGTCGGACTTGCCGACGGGCCACGACCCCATGCACGTAGGGCAGGAGTAGGTCAGCTCGAGCGCCGTGCGCTGAACCTCTGAGCGAAAAGAAAGCAACATGATAAAGGCAGCCTGTGTGT